AAAAGAAAAGGGTTTTTTTCACAAAAAAAAAAAAAAAAAAAAAAAAAAATATATATATATATATATATATATATATATATATAAACAATCCAAGTTTTTATAGAGGAAGAGATTTTTTGTAAGGCATAAAGTTGAGGAAAGTTTCTATTTGATTAAAAACGGCATTAAAAATGTATATATCATTTTCAACTGAGCAGTGCTTTTACTTTACAGCTCTTCGTCATACGGGAATAGTATGAGCAGCAACATAATGTAGGTCTTGGTATAAAACACTTTAGATAAATCTGCTGCTGCTGTGTTTGACAAGACAGAAGCAGCGGTTTCCTGTTCAAAGGTCAACCAGGATGTTAGGTTGACCTTTGACCTTCTGAACACCTAAAAATCTGTCGATTTCTGCATGTTGCATTTACATCAAGCATTGAGAAAGCATTTTAAATGTGTATATGAATAGTTTTGTGTGTTTTCCGGCTGTTTCGCCTTAATTATTGGTTAGCAAATAATTATTTACTGACAATTATTTGGTCAGCAAATAATTGCTGACCAAATAATTGGTCAGCAATTATTTAAAGCATTTGATTGCTGTAATGTCAGTAAAGAGTTTTCTGCTGATTATTCAGATATATAAATGCTTAACATTACTTTTTTAATTCAAGTGTAAAGAGAAACTTACAAAATATCATTTTTTAAAATTGTTTAATCGTTTTTCAAGAGTCATGTCCTATGAAAAACATAATTCTTTGTTGAATACAAAAATAATTCTAAATCTAAAATAGCAATCTATTGCAATTCTTGTATAGAAGCAGAAGATGTGACGTTGGTCCTTAAAAGTTGGTGGAAAACAGAGAAGTTTACCAAGAGTGCAGCCATGAGTTTATGGAGGCCATACATGACACAGAAATAAAAACATGTATGACTCATACATCAACCAGACTGCTGGCCATTAGGTTACTTAATGTTTGTATCTGCAGAGCAATGCTTTAATAGCAGGAGCTAATTCTGTGCATGACTCAGGAGGAGGCGATGGCTAAAAGAAATTATTTTTAATAACTATACATTAGTGAGCTGCAGAAGAGTCCCAACGATCCACTTTTGAACTATTTTAGCTTAAAAAAAAAAAAAACATTTTAAAAGATCTTGAATTTACTCTCACAGTGTTCAACAATTTTTAATTATAAAATGTTTTTGTTCAGGAATCAGTGAGAGTAAGTAAACACAAAGGAAAACAGTAATGAGCAATGTATTTTGTG